AGGCTAGTGCTCTACCACTTGAGCCATAGCTCCACTTCTGGCTTTTTTCATTTTGCTTATGTGGTGCTGAGGAGTCGAACCCAGGGCCTCATTCATGCAAGGCAAGCACTCTACCACTGAGCCACCTTCCCAGCCCCAGTTGTGCTTTTTTGTTCTTTGTTTTTGTTGGCTGTGGGACTTGAACTCGGGGCCTGGACATTGTCCCTAAAGCTCTTCAACAAGGCTAGTATTCTACCACTTGAGCCACAGTGCCACTTCCAGCTTTCTGATGGTTAACTAGAGATAAGAGTCTCACAGACTTTCCCACCTTGGGCTGGCTTTGAATAGTGATCCCCAAATCTCAGCCTCCTGAGTAGCTAGGATTACAGGCATGAGCCACTGGTGCCCAGCTTTTAGTTGTATTTCCATATATAAGAGAAAGCATACACTGTTTATCTGTGTTTGGCTTACCTTAATATGATTTGCAGAACTGACAGGGGGTAGTTTTAGTTGAAAACTGTTTCTTCACTCTATGGGACCCTGACATACTCATAACTTATTTCAGCTCTAGCTCACAAGCCTAACAGATGGATGGCACAGATACAGTCCAGCCAGGCAAGTGTATTATAGGCTTCCAGTATTTGATATCAATTCATTTAAAGCTCTTAATTATTTTCCTTAGAAAAAGCTTTTGCTTTGGTTACCTGAGCTGCTTGTTTGGAAACAAAGTTGGTCCCTAAGCTCCAGTGGAGTCAAAACACAGTTTCATGCTGCTGGCAGACTCAAGTAAGTAGAGCCAGGGGCACCAGCCCTTGGCCATTAGCCTAATTGCTCTTCTCCCACTTACCTGAAGGATTTTCATCAGAACAACCTCATCACTAGCAGGATCTGTGCCCACAAAACGGGCATGGGTGACGGCATCTGCCATGTTCTCCATGCCCTCAGCTGTGCCCTCATGAGTGGGATCTGCTCCAGTAAAAAAGGACAAATTAAATGAGGTGGTAGGACAGAGAAAAGGAAGGCAGAGAAACCAGTTTGGCTTTCTCTCCTCTAGTCCCCAAATCCATGATTCCTGAGCTACCTAAGATTTTGGCTCATAAATGGCTCCTCTGAACAAATCCGCTGGATAAAACAGTGCTTCTCAATTTTGAGCATATATTGAAATTACCTGGAATACACTGCTGTGCCCACCTCCAGAATTTTTGGTTTTGTACGTCTACATGGGGCTTGGGAATTTATAGCTCTAGTTCCCATGTGAAGTTAATGCTGCTAGTCAGGGGGGCCTTACTTTGGGAACTTTGGTATTAAACTGCTCATTTCATAGAGGAAGGACCTGGAAATAAATTTTTGCCTCAAAGCAAGTGTCAAGCAGGGTCAGAGCTGTGAAGGCGAGTTATAGCCTTTTTCTTTTCCTTTCTTCTTTTTTTGTGCTGGTTCTGAGGCTTGAACTCAGGCCTGGGTGCTGTCCTTAAGCTTTTTTGGTCAAGGCTAGTGCACTACCACTTGAGGCATTGCTTTTTGGTGGTTACTTGGAGATTAGAGTCTCAAGGACTTTCCTGTCCTGGCTGGCTTCAAACCTCAATCCTCAAATTTCAGCCTCCTTAGTAGATAGGATTATAGGCATAAACCACTAGCACTCAACTATCTTTTCTTTTTCTTTTTCTTCTTCTTTTTTTTTTTTTTTACTGAACTCAGGACATTGCACTTGCTAGGCAAGTGCTTTGATACTGAGCTACATCCCAGCCCTACCTTTTGTCTTTCTTTTTTTTTTATTTTGTTGGTTGTGGGGCTTGAACTCAGGGCCTAGGCACTGTCCCTGAACCTCTTTGTGCTCAAGACTAGTGCTCTACCACTTGAGTCACAGCACCACTTCTGATTTTTGAGTGGCTAATTGGAGATAAGAGTCTCACCAAGATTTTTCTGCCCTAGCTGTCTTTGAGTCACGATCCACAGATCTCAGCCTCCTGAGTAGCTAGGATTACAGGAGTGAGCCACCAGCACCCAGGTGAGTACATTTCTTTCTTATTTTTTTGGTCAGTCGTGGGACTTGAACTCTGGGCTTGGGTGCTGTCTCTGTGCTCTTCAGCTCAAGGTGAGCACTCTACTGCTTGAGCCACAGCGCCACTTCTGGTTTTCTAGTGGTTTATTGGAGCTAAGTGTCTCACAGACTTTCCTGCCTGGGCTGGCTTTGAACCATGATCCTCAGATCTCAGACTCCTGAGTAGCTAGGATTCCAGGCGCCCGGTAGCTGAGTACATTTCTTTTTGGACAATGTCACCCTTTCCCTTGTTCTCTCCCAGTTTTCACTTCCAGCTTTTTGTGGTTAATTGGAGATGAGTCTCTTGGACTTTGCTGCCAGGACTAGCTTGGAAGTGATCCACAGATCTCCGCATCCTGAATAGCTAGGATTACTGGCACCTGGCTGTGGTTTCATTCTCATTTAAAATAATATGACAATGGACAAGAATCACGTAACCAACTTGACCAGCCTTTAAGAGAAAAAAGAAGACAACTAAACTGGACCAGAGTCTAGCTAGTTGGAGTGTGGGAAAGAGGTTCAGATTAAGAATATGGGAGGAGAGCTGGGCATTGGTGGCTCACACCTGTAATCCTAGCTACTTAGGTTGACATCTAAGGATTTTGGGTTCAAAGCCAGCCCAGGCAGTAAAGTCCATGAGACTTTTATCTCCAATTAACCACCAAAAAGCTGGTGGTAGAGCAGTAGCTCAAGTGGTAGAGCATTAGCCTTGAGCAAAAAAGCTCAGGAACAGCACCCAGGCCCTGAGTTCAAGCCCCTGGACCTATACACCTGCATGTACATGATGCATACATGCACACGGATGCATGCACACACAGATGGGAGGCGCAAGAGTTAAGACTACTAGCGCTACACTGGAAGTGAACATAAATGCTGCCAAGTGGGGAGTTCTGCTTTCACTTATGTTAAAAGAGCAGGTCAAGAAGTTGACTCCAATAAGGCCTCTGTTCTAAAGGACTCTTTCCCCACTGCTTAGTTCTGGAGGGAAGAAGGGCAGGCACACAATCAAGCTCTGGAAGTGATAAGGTGCTCCTGAGGTAGAATGATATAATGCAGGGGCATTACTAATTTGAAACTCAGGGATTGCCAGGAAACTTGAGTGTTTCTTTTGGAAAAATTAGCCAGAAGACTTTCATTATTTTTTTTTCCATTTTCTCTTCTGTCTTTGTTAGTCTCTGACAAAAATTCTCCTATTTATAATCTCTCTCTACTGAGCACAAAGAATAGCTTTAGAGGTCATATAAAAGATCAGTCAAGTTTTGTGATTTGTACCATAACCCAGCTCCTCCTTTTATCACCTTGCCTCATCACAGAAAATCCTATATTCTTTGGCCCTTGCTTAAAATCTCCCTCCTGTTCCCACCTCACAGTCCTTAATCAGTCCTCCAGGACCCACCCAAGAAAGCCAGGCCCTTCTCAGCGTAGAGGGCAGGCCCTGCTTCCATCTCACAAAACTCCTAGAGGTCCATTTCTTCCCCTCTTTCAGTAATCTCTTGTTAAAGCGATTTAAGCTCTTTTAATTTCTTTGTGTTTTTATTCCTTAAGCTTGAACAAGTAGTAAAGTTCATTTTCTAAAAAGGCAAATAATAGTGACAGGTCTTTACAACCACGGGAAGGGCCTGTCAGCAAGCTGGGCAATCTGTGGCACAAATCCTGGTCTGGCAGTTGTGTGGGGCTGGACCAAAGGCCAGTTTACTTGTAGTAGGACCTAAAATTAACCCAGAAGCCTTGGGTCACAGAATTGAGAGGTCAGAAGCAGTTTCTTCTAAGTGGAAAGCCTAAACAGAGGCTTGTTTGGCTTGAGTTCACTTAGTAGATCTTGTCTTCCTAAGGCCCCCTCCTCAGAATGTCCTCTTCCGGCCACTCAGAAGGCAGCTCCAAGGATATTTGCCAAACTCATCTCCTTTGCTTTCTGGCTTTTTCGCATACTCCTTCCTGTCCTTTTCTTATGCCTACTGAAATCACCACCTTCAGCATTCTCATTTCCCACCACAGGAAACTCCAATGACCAGGTGGCCTGAGGTCTCTAATAACTAGCCTCTGCCAAGCCCAGGAAGGGAAGAAATGAATACCAAGAGATCAGAGGGAAAGAAGCAGAAGGGCAGCTGCTGGAGGCTGTGAAGAGCCATGACCTGCAGGTGGTGCTCAGGGCAAGGCTGGAAGTGGCTGGGCCTGATTTCATTTAGGAAAACTATGAAGCTGGGACTAGAGTGTGCCTAGAGAGGTTATACATTATTCAGAACCTGGCTGGCACCCAATACTCCTGCTTAGGATCCTGAGCAATGCTTTAGCTAAATGAACCCAATTTGCCCTGACTTGAAGGTCATTTGCTTTTCTGGCTAGCTACAGCCTAAGCCTCATCTTTCCTGTTTCCTACGTCCATTATGCCTAGACAAGGATTGGTACTGGGGAAAAGGAATTTAAGATTCTTAGTGGCAAGATCAACTAAAAAAAGAAAAACAATAACAAAAAAAGGCAATGTAAACAAATTCAGAAGGTTGGGGATGTAGCTTGCTTATCATGTACAAGGCCCTGAGTTCAGTCTCTAGCACTGCAGGAAAACAGAGATTAACCATAAATTGGGTAACATATTTTGATCAAGATTGAGAGCAAACTTTGTGTGTGTGCGTGTGTGTGCGTGTGCTTGCGCGCGCGCGCCAGTATTGAGCTTGAACTCAAGACTTGGGTATTATCTTTTTTTGCTCAAGGCTGGTACTCTATCACTTGAGCTACAGGTCCCCTTCTGGTTTATTTGCTTGTTAATTTGCTTGTTAAGAGTTTCATGGGCTAGTTTCAAACCTCAGTCCTCAGATCTCAGCCTCTTGAGTAGCTAGGATAAAAGATGTGAGCCACTGACGCCTGGCAAGAGAGCAAAGATTTTTAAATACTACGACAGACAAGAAGTTGTTGTCCTCACTTTAGCAAGAGCTTTTATAAACTGATAGGAAAAATAACTCAATATAAAAAGAGGAAAAGTAAAAGAGAATTACAAAAATGTTTGACCTCAAGGAAATAAAAACAGCAAAATATCAGTTTTTACTTTCTAAAATGGTGCATGTGTGCACTCACACACACACACACACAAAAAAAAAAACCATAATATTCAGTGCTGATGACCGAGTGGGAAAAATGGAAAACATTCAAACATTTCTGGTAAGAAATAAAATGCTGCAATCCTTTGGGAAAGCAAATTGGTATTCCATAAATTCCAATTTAGAAATACTTCATATAGAACCAGACATTGATGGCTCATGACTATAGTCTTAGCTATTTGGGAAGCTGAAATCTGGAGGATCATGGCCAGTTTGGGCAGAATTTTTGTTGTTGTTATTGGTTGTGGGGCTTGAACTCTGTCTGGGCTTGGGCGTTGTCCCTGCACTCTTCAGCTCAACTCTACTGCTTGGGCCACAGCAGCACTTCCAGTTTTCTAGTGGTTTATTGGAGATAAGAGTCTCACAGACTTTCCTGCCCAGGCTGGCTTTGAACCGTGATCCTCAGATCTCAGCCTCCTGAGTATCTAGGATTATAGGTATTAGTCACCAGTGTCCAGCTTGGGCAGAAAATTTTGAGACCTTCTCTTCAACCCACAGCAGGGCACAGCAGTATGCACCTGTTGTCCCAACTACATAGGAGGCTGAGGTTAGAGAACTGCAGTTCCAGGCCAGTTTGGGCAGAAAACTGCAAGACAAAGTAGACAATTACAGCTCAGGAATGTACTTGGGTAATAAGCAAGACTACTACAAAAGTAATCAGCAGGGGCTGGGAAGGTGGCTCAGTGGTAGAGTGCCTGCCTTGCATGTATGAGGCCTTGGGTTCGATTCCTCAGTACCACATAAGCAGAAAAAGCCAGAAATGGCGCTGTGGCTCAAATGATAGAGCGCTAGCCTTGAGCTGAAGAGCTGAGGGACAGTACCTAGGCCCAGAGTTCAGGCCCCATGACCACCACCACCAACAACCAAAAGTAAGCAGCAAAAAATGCCTAGAGGCAGGGCTCAAATAGTAAAGTGCTAGTCTAGCAAGCCCTGAATTCAAACCCCAGTACTGAAAAAAAAGTTTGTGTGTGTGTTTGTGTGTGTATACATACATATACATATATATATATGAAAAGATATAAGGGCCTTGAATAAGGATGTTTATTTTAGTCTTACATATAATAGCTTCAAAAAGGAAATAACTTAAATAATAAATAAGAGAATGACCAACTGAATTGTGCTATATCTCTGCCATGATATGGAATTATACAATTAATAAGAAGAAAACAATCATACTGAACTAAGTGGTGGGGGGAGGAAAGAAGGTTAGGGAAATGGATGATGGAAATGGTAAACACTGTTAACATACTTAATACCATTAACTTCTATAAAACTGATTTTAAAATTTCATATTACTACAATAAAAATAAACCAGATGGATCATTACACTATATCTAAATTACTACTATTAAGTGAAAAAAGAAAACATTAAGCACATAATCTTTTTTTCCTTTTTTGTCTTAATTAGCTTACATTACCCTTGTTTTCTTTATAAAAGGGGTAGTTCTTGCATTCATGATGCTGAGGCAAGAGGACCAAAAGTTAAAGGCCAAAGTTGGTTACCCAGTGAGTTGCAGAGCAGCCTAGGCTATATATCAAGGGGATTCAGTAGAACTTCATATTTATTTACATGCAGAAAAAAGTATGAAGATTCAAACCAAACTAGTGGAATGGTTCACACCTCCAATCTCAGCTACTCAGGAGGCAGAGATTGGTGGGTCATGGTTAGAGGCCAGTCCAGGCAAAAGGTTAGGAAGATCCCATCCTAACAAGCAAGTACAAAGATCTGAGTTTAAACTCTAGCACTACCAAAATGAATGAATGAATGAATGAATGAATGAACAAATAAAAGATTCAAACTAGGTCACTATCACTATTTAGTAAGTCCTGAAAATGACAGAAGAGACAACTATTCTTTCAGCCATCTCTTTATTGTTTATTCTAATAGGTATATTTGAAAAAACTTGGAACAATGTAACTTGAAAGCTAAAGTAAACCCAACTTCCAAAGGAACTTTATCTTCAACTTTCTCCAAAGCATAGGTAGAGAAACCAGAATTTTAGGGCAATCTCTCTCTTTCTCCCCTCCATGCATACAACCCCTGTCAATTAGCATGAAGAGTAGCAAAAACAATCCTATTTCTTTCCTATAAGGAGAGATGGTTGAGGAAAATTTCTCAGTCTGACAGCTGGTTGAGCAGCTGAAGGGAGGCAGGAAATAAAGCACTATAGTTACCCAACAAAACCTAAGTTCTTACCTATGAGTGCATAGGACAGGAACTTGTTTACAGAGGTGAGTGCCAGGCCAGTGATAGGGCCAGTGGTATCTTCAGAGCGAATTACTTCCAGAAATGGACGAAGGAATACATTTGGCTCAATCTCTGAGAGTTCTACAAGAAAAAAAAGAAAAAAACTTAAAACTTGCAGAGCGGGGAGGAAATTTTTGTTAGCAATTCAATGGATAAGGCATTAATATCAAGAATATAAAGAGAACTCAAAAAAATAGAACAGCAAGAAAACAAGAAACCCAATAAACAAATGGGCAAAGTAAATAGTTCTCACAAGAAGAAATACAAACTCCTAACAGATACATGAAGAGATACTGGTATCCTTAAACCATAAGAGAAGAGCAAATCAAAACCACACTGAGATTCCATCTCATTCCAGTCAGAGTGGCAGCCATCAAGTAAATAGCAAATATAGGAGAAGATGCAGGGAAAGAGACTCCTTCTTACATTTGGTGGAAATGTTGTTGCGGCCTCTGTGGAAATCAGAATGGAGGTTTCTCAAAAGACTAAAAGTAGATTTTGCTATGATCCCACTATACCACTATTGGGTATATATCCAAAGGATACATCTACTCTACCTAGGGTTTAATTTGTTTTTCTAGACTCTCAACTGTCAGAGCCAATCTCTCCTATAGGCTACCTAAATAAGCCAGAAACATTTAGGGAGTTATCTAAATTGTCCCACCTTAGAAACAAAGGAAGCTGGGCTTCCCAAGCACCTTTATTTTCAAGTAAATACAAGATGACCTACTTAATTCCCACCATCTCTCTCACCTCCCCCCCTTGCCCCTCCCTCTTTGGATAAACATTCCCTGGGCTCTATTGTTTCCCAGATTAATGCTTTAATTGGCAGGCTGGGTAGTATTTTCCACACTCATCAGTATAGTGATCACAGCAGCTGTATAAAACCTGTCTCTTAGCTGGGTGCAAAGGCTCAGGCCTATAATCCTAGCTACTAAGGAGGCTGAGATCTGAAGGTCACGGTTCAAAGCCAGCCCAAAGTGGAAAAGTCCCTGAGACTCTTATCTCCAATAAACTATTTAGACACAGTTGGAAGTGGCACTGAGGCTCAAGTGGTAGAGGGCTAGCCTTGAGTAAAAGAAGCTCAGAGACAGCTTCCAGGGCCAGAGTTCAAGCGCCAGGACCGGCAAAAAATAAAATAAAATAAAATAAATCTGCCTCTCACCTTTGCATTGTCTATTCAGAGATATATATAATTTGCAGAGAAATAGAATGTGTTGGTGAAAACAGATATTCTATCTCTCAATCTATTTATCTCTAAGTCTATTTCTCTCTCTCTGCTGGTACTAGGGTTTGAACTCAGGACCTTGCATTTGCTAGATAGGCACTTTACCACTTGCGTACCCTTCCTACTCTCCTCCAGCCCTTGTGTGTGTGTGTGTGTGTGTGTGTGTGTGTGTGTGTGTGTGTGTGTGTGTGTGTG